ATATATATATATATATGTATATGTATATGTATATGTATATGTATGTGCACGCACACATACACAGAGAGACACAGACATATATTTGAAAATGAATACATTAAAATTCTGCCTTTAGGTCAGATCTGAATTATAAGAGCTTCAATTATACCTCTATGTCACCCCTGCAGAGTTTAGCTGAGGGTAACAAAGGGGAAAAGGTAAAGTTGGTTTACTTCACAAGTAGCTCTAAGTTCATTATGCACTTATCACCACATCCATTTCAATCACTGAATTCCACAATTCTGTCTCCCCAGTTTTCCTTTAAATGATTCCTTCTTCCCTCCCACTGCAATTTGGGTTTCTCTCTGCCTGCCTTCGCTGTGTTCTCATATCACTTGGTATGAGAACATTTTTTACACTGTAACTATAACCTGAAGCAGGCAAATCAAAGTGTGTTGACTGCTTCTGCTAAATACGACTAGGAGATACCCAATAAAGTTAACAAAATTTCATTGTACTTTATCAAATTTACCTACAGATCCATATTTTGGCCACATTTAATGCTAAAAATGTAAATATAAAGCCAGTCGACATCTCATAAAAAGGTAGACAAAGCATTGCCAATATCCCCATAATAATCTAACATTATATACTAACCTAGAAGGTGAATACAGTTTGTTCTCTTTGCCTAATTCACTGTCTTGGTTAGGTATTGTTGTGAATCTATAAAGGCTGGAACTACTATCTTCAAATGTAGGTTTTTTGTCTTTTCCAAAGACTTTGGTTGGAACTGCTTCAAATACTTTGTAGTCCATAAGCGCCTGACACACTCTAACCACTTTGGCCCGAGGAATATCTACATCACCAAAATACTTATTCTGAAGTAGGTGAGAAAAAATGACATCCACAGCTTCTGAACCAACAAAGCAGTCATTGTGTCGTTTTAAACGGTGCCTTCGTTTTTTCACTTCCACTTGTGTTTGAAGAGTATTTATGATGCTGCTCCACACATATGTGGCTCCAAATGGCTTCTGAGCTACACTGAAACCTAGAAGGAGAAAAATCATAAAGAAACTGGGATTTAGTACCTTGTTCATTTGTAATAAGGTCTAAACAATCCTTAGGCAAAAACGTAGTAATGTCCAAAGTTATTGATAAAGAACAATTATGAAGGTTGCTTATAGAAATACTGTTATTAATAGCAATTCATTAAAAAAATCAGAACTTATTATATACAAACACTGTTCTATGTGCTAAGATACAACAGTAAGCAAAAGAAGATCTCTGTTCTCAGAAACTTAAGACTTTGTAGGAAGATACAGATAATCCATGTGTGTTAGATCAGTGCTAAGAAGAAAAACAAAGCTGGGTAAGATAAGGAATGCTACTTTAAATGGATGTCAGGAAAGACCTGTGTGGTAAGGTTATACCTGAGTGGAAACTCAAGTAAAACCAAGAAGCAAGGAGCAAGCTCTGTAGACATCTGGGGAAAAGCAGGGAAAACAGAAAGAGCAAATGCCCTGAGGTGGGAGTGTGCTCCATAGGATAGGAAGGAGGTCAGAGTGGTGTGGGGAGGGAGAGAACAGTTAGTTAGATCAAAGAGGGCGTGGGGCTGGGGTTTGAGACTGGGAATTAGGAGGATACATCAAGTAGGACCTGTGGCAGTTAGCAGTTATGTACAAGAATTCTATTACATGCCTTATAAATTGTCTAATATTCGATAGCAACCTATGAGGTATGTATTGTTTCCATTTGAGAGATGGAAAACAGAATCACAGAGGTTACATGTCACTTCCAGATATTATATTGAAAGAGGTAGTACTGGGACTTGGCTCATGTTTTAGATAACTTTGAAGTACTTATGAGTCACACGTATACACACCACACACACACACACCACACACACAGTCATGCACCACAAAACATTTCTGTCAACAATGGGTCACATATAACAGTGGTCCTATACAATTATAATGGAACTTAAAATTTCCTGCTCCTATCTCTCGCTGTACCTTTTCTATGTTTGGATACGCATGTACTTATCATTGTGTTACAATTGTCTACAGCATTCAGTACACTCTGCAGGTCTATAGCCAAGGAACAACAGGCTATACCACATAGCCTAGGTGTGTAGTAGGCTGTACCATACACACTATGATATGTGCACAACAGTGAAATCACCTGGCAATACATTTCTCAAAACATATCCCCGTCATACACTATGCATGACTGTATACACACATAAACGCATGCAATCATTGCAGGAATAAACTAGCATTTTTAAAGCCTCCTATTACCCAGACTTATTAGTTAAATATACATTGTATGCAGGGTAAAGTAAAAATTTGGTTCTTGCCCTATAGGAGCTTATGACCTACTGCAAAGATAGAATAGGCACAGAAGTAAATCAAGATTTTTGCCAAACACAAAGGTGAAAACAAACTTTCAAAAACATCCTATTATATTTTTCATCATTGTAATTAACAGATATTTGGCAATCAACAGGTCTTAGGTTTTTGTAAACCAATGGAACGAATTCTAGCGAATCACCCACCTGGTGCTGGCTGGCTGTCTCTTTCTTTTCATAAAGAGTATAACCTTTAATGTGTTACACTTTTCAATGATCCTCTGAAAATTCAGCAGTCCTAATTTAAGCCCCCATTTATGTTAAGTATATTACTTCCTTTATTTTTAGGATATTTTGGGAGAGAACTTGAAGTTATTACTTCCTTTAAGATAGTCTAAAAAAGAAGATCATATGCATAAGTACAATGGTAAGGAAAACAGGGAATTATAATTAAAGAAATTGCTACTTGAAATTATCTTCCTACTTTTTTAGGCAAAATAGAATGTGTAAGAAGGTGAATGCATAAGATAAGCTTCTGAAGGACGTTAAAACTCCTCTACAACCTGGTCAACATGGTGAAACCCCTTCTCTACTAAAAATACAAAAATTAGCTGGGCGTGGTGGCAGGAGCCTGTAATCCTAGCTACTTGGGAAGCTGAGGCAGAGAATTGCTTGAACCCAGGAGGTGGAGGTTGCAGTGGGCCAAGATCACACCACAGCACTCCAGCCTGGGTGACAGAGCGAGACTTCTAAAAACTCCTCTTAATGCACTAGAGACATAAGTTTTAAGGGGGTAATTTGAAATTCATCTCTTACGTTGCAATAAATACAAGGAGTACACTGAACCACTACATTGTTTTCACTGGTAGCATAATTCTGTAGCTTCTAGCAATTTAAACATCTTTATTCTATAGCTGCTAGCAATTTAAACATCTTTACAGTGAAAATAACACACACACAAACACACAGCCCTTTATTGTTTATCTGTATATTTCTAATACCAAAAATAGATGGGTAATTTACCACCTCCCCATTATTATAATGTTGGTTTAAAATGATCAGCAAGACTAATTGTCAAAATTGTGTTTTAAATTTGAAGATATTTCATATGCCAGTAGTAAACAAAGATGGAGTTGTTGCCAGTCTTCCAAATATAATGTGAGCTGTTTCAGGAACTGAATTATGGAGAATTGACTAGATGAATAAAGCTGGAATTAGATTTACTACTGGTATAGTATTTAGTCTCTATTGAACAGAGCAAGAATGAAGCATTTAATGGAATCTCAAAGTCAGTCCAGGTCATTCCTGGTATCCAGAACTCAGGAGTAGTTGTACTGTTTCCAGCCACAATGCATAAACATTGTTAGTTAGCGACTAATATTCTTAACTTCCTAAAATACCAGAGATCATAAATAAGATTTAAACAAACAGTTTCTGCTTAACTTTTCAAATCTTTATTATTCATAGCTAACATCTGAGTATTTACACTATGACAGCTTCTGTTTTCCCTCATTTAGTTCTGATAAGCTTCTCTGCAAAATGATTAATAATCCTATTTTGAGGAAACTGAGGCTCAGTGAGTTAAACCTACCCTCAGTTAGACAGCTAATAAATATATACTTGTTTTTCCTAGTACTTAAATACATGAAAAGTCAGCCACCAGATAAGTTGTTTAAGCATTAACCTTTCGTTGGAAACTTGGATTAAGTGAAACAGCTTTAAGAGAGCCAAGAGATAAAACGAACTCTAAGAACCCTTAACTAAGCTATTTAAAAATAGTCAATACTCCTAAAATAAGGCAGGATATCATAAAGTCTGTAATCAATACTACCACAGTACATACACGGGTAAGACAGGAAAAGGAAGACATGCAAGATTCAAACTTAGATCAGACTGCCTTTTAACTACCAACGAGACAGACTTTTGGGCTAGTGACAGATAATATAAAGATGAAACACATTAAGTCACAACACTTGAGCTACAAGTAGGTCAGCATACAAATCCTAAATGATAAGGCTGAGTCACTTTTTTTTTTTTTTTGAGATGGAGTCTTGCTCTGTCACCCAGGCTGGAGTGCAGTGGCAGGATCTCAGCTCACTGCAATCTCTACCTCCCAGGTTCAAGCAATTCCCTGCCTCAGCCTCCTGAGTAGCTGAGATTACAGGCACGCGCCACCATGCCTGGCTAATTTTCATATTTTTAGTAGAGATGGGGTTTCACCATCTTGGCCAGGCTGGTCTTGAACTCCTGACCTCGTGATCCACCCACCTCAGCCTCCCAAAGTCCTGGGATTACAGGCATGAGCCACCGCACCTAGCCAGCTGAGTCACTTATTAATTACAGACCACTAAGACAGCTGAAGAGTGTGGTGAGAGAGGGGATATTTGGCCTCAATGAGTAGAAAGGGCTAATCCTCACAAAGGAATTAAGAGGTAAAGAATAAATTTCCCCACATTAACTTGTGGGAAATCAGGAGGTTTTACAGGTTGGGTAACACTGTATAAAAGATTAAAGAACTGGTTAGAGCAGAATAGTAGGCATTTGTGAACCACACGTTTCCAGAGTCCTCCAGGCATGATACAATACAGCCCTCACAGGCCCCCTCTGTTCTCACTGACCATTAATTCCCAACCATTGCATCCTGGGATACTTCCCTTCAAGCACCACCACCCACAGACCCAAACTAGCTCATGTTCATACAGTTGCTTTCATACACAACATACCCTGGACTTGACAAGTAAATGTTCCAAAACCCATACCAGAATAACCTGCTTTTTTAAATACTGACTTCACGAGCTGAACACATACATATCCCTCACATGTTGGTTTTAAACTTACTTATCATCATCTAAAAGCTGAGATAAATATTGGGATAGCAGATCACGGCCCAGTAAAATGATTTACTGTGATTTCTAAACAGGATTTAAGATACCAGAAATAGACAATGAATGTTTTTTAAATCTTGCAATCAGAATTAAGGGTTCAACTTGTCCTCAAACCTCACTTTCATATGAGCTAAACAACCATTTAAAATGCTTCATTATCTATATCTTGATGCTTCCTTACTTACATTTGGTCAAGTATATATATATATATTTTTTGGAGATGGAGTTTCACTCTTGTTACCCAGGCTGGAGTGCAATGGCGCGATCTTGGCTCATCGCAACTTCCGCCTCCTGGGTTCAGGCAATTCTCCTGCCTCAGCCTCCTGAGTAGCTGGGATTACAGGTACGCGCCACCATGCCCA